GGACGATTCTTAGATATTTAAGTTGAATGTAATTGTAGAGGTATTGTGTTTAGTAAATTGCGTATACTGCAGTAGGTTCTAGGTAGTTAGTTTAGTTGTAATGTATTTAATTTCATTTCATTCGAAATACTTCCTTTGTGAAAGCATTAGTGCGAAAAATTTTAAGATTTTTACTATGGGTAATTTTCAAGAAAACCAGTTATTGTTTCTCAAGCTCAGAATACTGTAGAGAATAAAGTAGATAATTTTCAAATATGGTTATATGTGATAGCCAGTTTTATGAGGGCGATAATTTTGTACACTGTTTGAGTAAAGTTTAATAAGAAGTTCAAAAGCTGGCTTCGCCGTCAAGTGTTAATGGCAGGCGTTCCAATATCGGGCCAGAATATGGGTCAGATTGGGTCAGATGATAGGTGCTTCTAGCACCAGTCTGCGGCACGCGCCCGCGCCCGCCGCGGCAGTCGCCCCTTTCGCGGGGGTCACAGTACAGCCCTGCGCACAAGCGCATTAGCAAGTTTTTGTTGTTAGTTTTAAGTTTTTGTTTGTATTCATTGTATAGTTTTAACCCGTAAGCTCTGACAGCGCGCGACATGCTGTACTCACGTTCGCTCAGGACCTTAATGGCGGGAAAATTTGTAAGTTAGAAATTTTTTTGCTATATTGCAAACTTTGCTATATTTTCACTTTGAGACAATATTTATGGATAAAACTTACAGGAATTCTTGTTGAATGTATAAACTATCGAATAAAATTATTTTTGGTTGCTAGAAATTGTAATAAAATACATAAATTACCCTGTATAGCATAGTAGTAGTATATACTTCAATTTTAGTGACAAAATTACTACTAATTTGAATTCTACACTTTTGTTTTTGGAGAAATTTATATGAAAATGTTTGGAAATATGTATATTTTTATGTTTTATGTGTTTCCATTCATTACTCATACCAAAATATTTAAAATATATTAAAGTGTAAAATGTAACTATTTTTACTTACATTTTACACTAAAAATAAATGAGAATTTGAAAAATAACACATTTATGACCCAACCGCCAAAATGGGCCTTCCGGATTTTGAAGTACTTTTGGCAATTATTTTTCACTTTTTATACCACAAATTATATATCTACGTGTTTACTATATTACAAGGAATATAAAAAAGTATAATACTTTCGTTTTTAGTCCAGACACAAATATAAAATTCTACAAAAAAGACGGAGCACCTTCATCAAAGCGACACGTGGAACGCCGAAAGTTCAGAGTGATTTCTTTTTTTTTTTTCTAAGAAACATTGCCAGGTTATGGTTTAAAATAAAAGAGCATATCTTTGTCTTTGATACTATTATCTATTGCATAGTGTTTTTGGTTTTGTTTTAATTCAAAAATTTCTTTTCCAAAGGGTAGTACTTGTGGTACACATGTATATCTCGATCGAGCGAGCGTAAGATGTTTATGTCTGGTACACATGTGTAGACTGATCGACTCTACAGGAGTTTTTTTATTATTCATTTTTTTATAAAGGGGGAAGTATTGTAGATACATTGCGAGGAGTATGACATAAGAATTCTGGAAGTTCTTCATAACACTGGACCAGTGGGGCCTTTTTAACTTCCCAGTAAGAAGTTTTATGTAACATATTATGTACGTATGTGTATGTATGTTAGTGGTTAATTTAGCCCGATTGTCAGTTTTTATTGAATAAAAAAGTGTAAAATACATGAGTGTGATGGCAACCTAACCTAAACAAAGAATGTATTGCTCCTATAACTTCCATTTTAAATAAAACAAAAATACGAAATATGAAAAATAGGTTAAGTGAAGTACTAAAAAATTGTTAACAATTTATAATAAACGCTTTTTATTTACGAGTATATAATAGAAGCAAACGAGCACGAGGCCCACGTGATGGTAAGTGACTACCGCCACCCATGAGTATTTGCAACACCACGGGGATTGCGATTGCCAGCCTTTTAAATATGAGTAGGCTCTCATCTTAAAAAAATTGCTGGTGGTGAATTCTACAACGGAGCGTGAGGAAGATTTGGTAAGCCGCACAGTGGTGGACCACCCATCATCCAGATAGTGTTGCGATGGTGAAATTTATCGTCACAATTTTTTCACAAAAAAAATTGTGGCCAAGCGTGTCAACTATGGCAAATATCCCTAAGTATGAGGCCATCTATAGAGTAGACCTTCAGCAGTGAACTTTTTGGATAGGCTGTAATGGAAATGGTTATTATGGCAAAGATGGTTTATACTCTATTATTTTTAGAACAGTCGTAGCGAATATCACCATGCACCTCGTAACAGTTTTAATGTTTCTCGAAATGACGAAACCCTCATAGATAAGAGTGTATATACCGTAAAGAAACCGTAAGAGGTACCTACCCCGGTAGTCTGCTGAGACTGATAAAGCAACACGCTTTTGAAGTTAGATTTTATTTTATTATTATTTGAGCATTGGTATCTATATAGTTTTCTCATCTGGTTGGGTTCTATAAATATATAATTATAAATTAAAATGAAAAGATAAATATACATAAATATAATTAAAATAAAATAAATACAAAAATACATAAATAAATAAAAGCCCAACCAGATGGAAGCACTCGGCAGGGGAGACCAAACGGCCGAGGGTTAGGAAGAAAGGGAAAGAAACCGGCGGACGATGCGGGCGGTATCGAGGAGCACCGCCTTCTGCATTTGAGCCCGGAGCGGACCGTCACGGAGTCCCAGTCGCCTCAGATGATCCGAGAGGCTGAATGGGATTAGCCTATTCGCAGAGACGATTACGTCGGTCACCTCGTGAGCCAGGTCCAGATATTTTGTTCGTTTATCTGTTTCGGCTTTCACGAGATTCTCGTCGTACGGAATAATAATGTCGACCAAAAATATCTTTGACTATGCCCGGTCCATCAGCACAATATCAGGCTTATTCGCAAGAATAGTCCTGTCCGTGATGATGGCCCGGTCCCAGTAGATCCTGGCGCGGTCATTTTCGAGCACGGCTTCCGGCAAGTACTTTTGATACGGCAATTTCCGGTCCACGAGACCGTATTTCAGAGCGTGCTCTTGGTGTAGAATTCTGGCTACTACGTTGTGCCTGTGCAAGTACTCAAAGTTAGAAAGCGCCGAACAACCGGAGATGACATGCCCTATTATTTTATTATTAAGAGTATTATTAATAAGTTATACATTGACATGTCTTGTGTATCAACGCCACATCCTGGTGCATTTTGAGTTTCTGAGACCACTTCAGACACTATATATATTTTGTTGTATTCGTATGTTACTGATGTTGCCATCTGTTGGTATAATGTCATCATCTGTTTTTAGTCCAAGATCTCCACTACTCATGTTTAAATTGTTTTCTTCTAGTATTTTTTTGTATTTTCTTCGTTATTAGAAAATAAGTGATTTTTAACTTGTGGTAAAACTGTACAAATTTGTTTTAACTGCAGAATTTTCCGTTTTTTGCTGTTTAAGACCATTTGTTTGCTGTTTAAGATTGCTGTTTTTTCGAGTTTAAATTATCTATTTTAGCATGCACTATTTGTAGTTGCTCCTGTAATTTTAACATTTGCTCTTTGTAACACTCACAGTCCTCGTTATATAACTGTGCAGTGGATAAATTTGGTGAGCTTCTTGCTAGATAATCTGAGTTGGTCGATATAAATGACATGTTTGGTGATTCATTTAATTTTTGGTCTTTTGAGAACGAAAGGTAACATTTTGGTACTCCATTTCAGTCTTTATTAATTTCAAGTCTTTATTTTATTTCTGTATAGTAATGTTATTCAGTGCCCTCTTTCGGCTAATCACAGTACTATATTAGTATTTTAATATCGATCAACTGTGCTAGTTCAGCAATACGTCGATAGATGTCGTACAATATTTTTGTTTACGAATGAGTTGACCGGTTTTTGAATTTTGTAACGATTTATATCTGTGCCTCCTGTGATGAGTGATTTAAGTTGAGTTGTACCCTTTTTGTGATTTTAACATGGGCATTATCAGAAAATAATTACGATTTTTTTGGGTCTAACTCACGTTTTTCTATCTGCTATAGTTTCGGAGATAATTTTGTGCAAATTGATATAACTGTCCAGAATTTGACAAAAAATTCGTGAATATCGATATTTGTCAAGATGTAACCTCCATAAGTAATCACTCAATGCACTATTTTTCGTACTTCATGATTTAAATGTGATTGTATTCAATTTCACATTTTATTTTTCAGTACAATTATCGTGAATATTGATGTGCCTAGAGTCATATCCTTTTGAACCGATTCTTTTCGATATGCCTAGGGTACAAATGGACATATACCTACCGATTCCAATGTGAATTTATGAATTTTTTTGTGAAAAGTGATACATCGTGAGATAAATCTTTCTACACAAATCTGTTTTTATGTGTAAACAGATATAAATGTAATTGTATTTAAAAGTCAAACCAATTCTAAAAATATTTATGTAGAACTATTATGTGCTAAATGATACGAGTGTAGGTAGTGTGGGTGCGCGGAGGTGAAGCGCCGCGTGATCGGGGATGCGCGGGACTTGGAGCCGTATTTTGAGTTTTGCTCGTGCTTTCCGCCCGCAGTGTCGCTGCGGCATTGATGGAGTGAGGTCACGTCCGAATGCGCCATGGATCGACGCGTAAGTTGATAGACGTATCATTTTACACGAAATTCCATAATATTGGATTTTTTGTTTTGATATTGAATTAAATCACCTGACACAAAATAACGTAATGTTTTCGTATAGTCATAGTAATTAAGTTGCTTGATCTTTTCTTTTGCAATTTTGTCCCTATTATTTTGTTTTAACTAGGTATTCAAAGTCATTTCCTGTTTTTTTAATTAACCTTTGATTTATTATTTAAAGTCTTTTTAGAGACAAGTGTTGTTTTCGTGCTGTGGTTTTCAAAACTTTCATGTATTTAATGCTAAATAGAATAATGTTCGTTTCAGTTAAAATCTCGAATTGATAAAATAATGGAGTTGGCCTCTGAAGCCGAAATTGAAGAAAAATATTGTAATACTCAGGGATATGGCTACGAATCAAGCGAGGAGCAAGAAACAAGAAAAACAGTTGAAGGGTCGCGTCATCAGGATCCAATAGTTGCAGAAACGGTTATTGACAAAGAAAAAACTAGTGATATCCAGGAAGAAGGCAACATATTAATAGGGACGCAAGAAGTAAGAAAACCAGTTGAAGAGTCGCGGGACCTTCCAATTGCTGCGGAAACGGTTTGTGACAATAATAAGAGGAACACGACACAAGAGAATTCTTCAAAATACCTACTAGATGACTTGAGAATTTCCGATTCATCAGACGATGGTGATTTTGGATCATCTAGCAGTGATGATTATATTTGCGCTACTGATGAATCGTCGTCATCCAGTGATAATGAAAGAACTTCAGCTAAAAAGAAAAGAACGACTACGTCGTCGGTGAGACATACCTCCAATATTACAGTTCCAGAAACACCCCCGTCGCCCATGAGCACATCAGAGAACCCTGTTCCTGGTTGCTCTTTCTGGGAACGCAACGGTATGAATAGTGCCGGGAAAAAGAAAAAAACAAGAAAAAGTGTCAAGGAGAGAAGACAGGATAGAGCAAGGAGAAAATTGTTTCGTAATACTGGCTTAGAATATATAACGACATCAGGGAAAACAAAGAAACGTCGGCAACTTCATGAACTTGAAAACTGCCGTCAAAAATGCAAGCAGAGACTACCACAGGACTTGAGGGAGAAACTTTTTAAACAGTACTGGAGTTTAGGTAGTTACGAAAATAGAACTAAATACATTGCGAAATGTATTGAAGTCTGCCAAAAAAAAACTTCGAAGCTTTCTCCAAAGAAAAAACGCAACTTAAAAAAACTTAAAAAAAGCTTTCGTTACTTTGTACATGGTTTTGATCATACAAAACATCCAATTTGCAAAGGATGTTTTTTGAAGACTTTTGATGAAAGTCACAAATATCTACAAACGGTATGCGAGAAACTACGAGACAATGGCGGTCATCTTCCTCAGCGTAAACGTCGAGTTGGTAAGTCAATTCCTGATTTCAAACTAGAGGAAATAAAAGAACATATTGCTTGTTTCCCTTGCACAGAAAGCCACTACGGCCGCAACAAAACCACTAAAAAGTTTTTGAATTCCGAGCTCAACCTTCAAGTTCTTTATAACTTATACAAACTGAAGACTGATGCTCCAGTAAGCAAAACCATCTTTAAAAAGGTCTTTGAAACCATGAACTTATCCTTTAAAAAGCCATCTGTAGACACTTGTTCAAAATGTGACCGCATCAATATGAAACTCAAGTATGCATCTGTGGATCAGGCTGCAAATCTGATAGAGACGTTCAAGGAGCATCAAGAGGCGTTTAAGGCTGCTTACGAAGAGAAAAAGGCAGATAAACAACTGGCTCAATCGAGCGAAGTTGTAGCTGTCATAACATTTGATTTGCAACAATGTTTACCCACCCCGTACTTGCAAACGAATGTTGCATTTTATAAGCGACAATTGTGGACATTTAATTTGACCATACACGATTTGAAAACAAACAAGGCTTTCTGTTACATGTGGCCGGAGTGTGAAGGTAATAGAGGGGCTAATGACATTGCTTCGTGTTTATATGATTTTATCATAAATCAACTACCAAACTTACACCCAAACGCTAAGAAGCTGATCATGTTCTCGGACTCTTGTTCTGGCCAAAACAAGAATTCGATTGTAACAACAATGTTAATGCTAGTTACTAGACTATCCCCACAATTACAATTTATTGAACATAAATTTCTCGTACCTGGCCATACACACATGGAGGCTGACACCGACCATGCATTGATTGAGCGTAAAAAAGAAGATCAGGAATATGGATATACACTTGCCAAGAGATTGGTACCAACTAGTGCGTACAGCTTCAAACAAAACAGCCAAGTTTACTGTTATCGAAATGACTCATGAAATGTTTTATGATTTTAACATTTTCGTAAAGCAATCTTTTACTTTTAGGAAAACGAATACAGCCAATGAAAAGTTTTTGTGGTTGAACGTTAGATCTGTTCTTTATAACAAAGAAAACATATCCTGTTTTTCTTACAAAAAAGAGTTCAAAGATGTTGAGTACTTGACCATGGACTGTTCTAAACGGGGGAAAACTTATGATAATATATTTACGATTAATATGGTACCGAAAGCTTACCACTCTAAACTTCCTATTTCAACCGATAAGAAGAAAGATCTATTAAATTTGTTATGTTTTATTCATGAGAGCGCTCATGAGTTTTACAGAAGTCTGAGCTGCAAAAATGATGTCAAAGACAGTCCAGCGGATAATGACGATGATTCAGATGGTGAATAGGTTCCGGTTCATATTATAACTTATAGATCGAAAGACTTTGTTATTTTTTTATTGCTTTGTTAACGTTAGTCTACATACAGGTGGGCATATTATAATAATTTAAAAAGGTTCAATTCTGATTTGAGTATAAGTATTTTTTTAGTTAACATTATAATCATTTAAGACGAGTTATCCATCTCAGAGTGCAATTTATTATCTACCTCTATGGAACACCTGTTAAAATTTGAAGTGTTGAAAAATTTTGTTTGTTTGTTATTTTCCTAGATTTTTAGATTAAGACATGATTGTGATACTTTGTATTGTACTTAGTAGGTTAATATTGCTTATCGTGATACCTAAAGATAGATCTGTGCCATTTCTTAGATTTTAAGTTTAAAATTACTTGCTAACTTTTTTACAAATGATAAGTTCCTATTGAGAATAGTTAAGCTACATTCATATTGTTAAATCGTGATTATTTGATCTCAATTTACTTTTTTTAAGAATTTTGATAAATTTGTGCCTTAAATTTGAGTGAATTATTTATTTTGAAAAAGTTTAATAAACGTTGATTATTTTTCTACAACTTGTATTTATTTACACAATCCATATCTCTTTTGCTGATGGGTATATCTCGACTTATATCATTTAACTCATCTTCTAAAATACTAGGATTTTAGTATTCTGATACAATTCAGGTAAATATTGTAAATAGGCGACTGATAAGTAAAAAAATTAAATCTAAACGGTTATATCTTTATCTTTTGTTTGAAGAACACTGTGCTAGGATCATTATTCTGATGAGTTATTATATGTTTTAACTTCGTGTATATCAGTTTACACAACGACAACTTATTGATGCAACGTAATTTAACTGTACAAGTATCATTTATCACATAATTTTAGCACATAATAAAAGGTACAACTCACAGGTTTTCATGATTTACTTTAAAAATTAAATAATGTACTAAAAAACTAAAATATATAGCGAAAGAGAATATTTTACTCTACAAAAAGAAGAAACTCAAATTTAACCTAGCCCACTTAGTTCACGAACAAGAATTTTTTAAATCTTGTTTTTGCACTCTTGTAAAATGATGATTTTTCACTTGTATCACCTATCACAGGAGGCACAGATATTTACCACACACATTTTCAAAAAGATTATTTTTGATCTCTTTATGTACTGAAAAATTATTTTATTCACTGTAAACTGTTGTCCGTAGGAATTTACAAAACTTTTAAGCACTTTTAGAGTGAAAAACACTTTAATAAGCCTTATGTCGTATTGATGTTCAAGTCATTTGTTATTAACTGTTGTTTTAGCTGTAATTATTATATTGTTTTTTTTTTGGATTACACTTTCACTTGTAATTTAGATTTCACTTTAACTAATTAAACCAAATATATGGTTAAGAGAGTTTTTTAGAGGGTTATTCCGCTACGCTCCTACAGTGTGTGCTGACAAACTATACATTTCACAGACATACGGGTTTCCTCACGAAGTAATAGCATAAAGAAAAAGTAAAACTACTTTAAGCATTTAATGATTTCTTATATTTGCACAAGAATAATCGCTGAGAATAAATATGATACACGCAACCAAATTGGCGTGCTAAATGATTTGGAGATGGGCGTGTAACCTTTAAAAAAAAACAAGAAATTGTAACCTGAAAATAAAAATAATAACTGCGATTGTTAACCCGCTTAAAATAAATAAATCTATTAGGCTGTTATAAGTGAAAAGTTAAATAATTTTAAGAAAGTATATTTGAACGAGGCATTTCAGCTTTGTGTTGCACGTTATTATATTAGGATGTTACTCGTATGTGAAATTTTAAATTAATGCGAACTAACTTTGTCTTTCAAAACGTAGTCGACATTGCAAAGAAGGCTTATGTAGTTTCTTAAAATAATAATAACAATATTAAGGATAGAAGTATTTTACGTGCATTACTAATTGAATCTAGTGGGGTGTCGCCCTACACTTCACCTACCAGTAACCAGGCTGCCATTCGAGAACCTTTTCTTCACAACGGTTGTCAGTTCTTCGAGCTATATGGCCAGCCCATTGTCACTTTAACTTACTAATCCGTTGGGCTATGTCGGTCCTCTCTGGTTCTACTGCGGATATCCTCATTTCTAAGTTTATCACGCAGAGAAACCCCGAACATAGCCCTCTCCATAGCTCGCTGAGCGACTTTGAGCGTCCTCATACGGCCAGCAGTGAAGGACCACGTCTCAGTACCATATGTCAGCACTGGCAGGAGTGACAACCTGGTAAGACATACAGGAAGTCGATGGATGCAGGTGGCTGAGGACCGTGCTTTGTGGCACACCTTGGGGGAGTCCTATGTTCAGCAGTGGACTTATGAAGGGCTGTAATGATGGTGATGATGACTAATTGAATTACTTTACTAAAGTTAGTTAAAGATACAGCATCTATATACGTCCCACTGCTGGGCACAGGCTTCCTCTCATTTCTGAGAGGTTACCCCAATACGTGTGCGCGAACTTCATGTATTAGATTTTTTTTTTTAATTTTTTCTGTGTTTCGTATAGTGAGTGCAGAGAACCGGTGATGCTTTTTACTCGTAACCAGGGTACTATTTTAGTCCTCTAGGTACGTTTAAAGTCACAGCATCCACTTACCATCAGGTAGATTGTGTGCTCGTTTGTTACCCTTATTCTATAAAAAGGTAATATAGGAAAACTCTCCACAGGCATAATGATTCATATCAATGAAATATTTTAATGAATACAGAACACAATTAATTTAAAAACTCCCTAAGAGAATTATAAACCGTCAGCCATTGTTAATTAAAAGCAGTTAACTTGTAGGTGTTGTAGTAAGCGTCAAGTGCGCAGAGTAGTCCAGAGAATTGCTACTTGATGGTTTGTAAAAAATTAACAAACCGACTTCTAAAAACTAAGAGAAATAAACTAATTTCTACTTAATTTAATAGCTTCTTAATGAGTGCTGGTGGTTGCCTCACAACTAAAATGTCGTCTAAATAGTTATATACCCTTATCTTTTTCTTTTAAAGGTCCCTGCACCCGCAATAGGATTATCTCATATATTGTGCAAACTTAAATAGCAAAAAGAGAAACATTCAGACCAGGAAAATTTATTTGTAGACCATGCAAATACTTGTTGCGTACAGCTTTTGAACCTGCGGTCCCTCAACACCGCAATTAAATGCTGAGTTACTAGTTGCACCAATAACTTTGCCCACACTTTTAACTCTTATAGTTTTAATTATAAAAATAATGATATTAGAAACATGAATTAGAGTACTAAGAGTATATAAAAAGTTAAAGTTAAAGCTACAGCCTGTATACATCCCACACCTGCTGGGCAGGCCTCCTCTCATTTCTGAGAGGATTTCAGGGTAAGAAAGTGTCCGACGCGCTGCCTCAATTCGTGTTGATGTACTTCACATGTCCTCAAAATATTTTTTTTATTTCTCAAACATGCAGGTTTCCTCGCGATGTTTTCTTTCACCGCCGAGCACGTGGTAAATCAGCACTTAAAATAGCCAGCTCGCGTACGGAAATTTACAGCGAACGCTAACTATCTGAGCTACCACGCAACCTCACTACTACGTGTTTATGTATAATAAGAAATCCAAGAAATACACCATACACATTAAAACGAAAAGAAAATTAAATATATATAATAAAAAAGGCAATCTTATCGCTCTGGAAGCGATTTCTTCCAGACAAACTTTTTGCGTTTAAAAGTGTTAATATGACAACATTATTCTTTCCTGTTCTGTGCATACTTATAATAATATGATACAAGAAACTGTTGAGGATAGGAATGACAGATACAATTAAGAAACAGAAATATCATGGAAAATATTAGAGTTCCAATTAATAAAAATTATAGTAGATTTTTGACTCACGTCGAATACATAAAGGCAAGGAGTTCCACAAACGTACAGCCAGTAAGGCACTGCACCACGTAACTGTCAAATTAAAAGTTTAAAGTCACATTAATAGTTTCATGTTCTATTTTTCTATTCTAAGCAGTGGAAGGTTACTACGGCAAAATTAGAGAGATTTTTGTAGGAATATGTAGGAATATCAATTAATAAGAATGTCAAATTATCCGCTATATAGGAAAATCTATTATCCTATATCATCCTGTTGGTGTTGTTGTAGGAGGCGACACAAACCAGAAGATGAACAGGAGAGAGTTAAAAAATAAACACTGAGGTTGCCAAGCAATAAAAATATATGAGGCAATCTCTGGGTGTGCGCTGTATTCAGCAAAAGCCTTGTATAACTAATATATAAGAAAGTACTAAGCTGGAAGTTGTTGACGAGTATGTTTACCTGGGACAAATAGTCCGACAAGTTAAGTTCAACTTACCTAGTCGATTCAACTCGACTGGGCAGCGTTCGGGAGATCACGACACATCTTCTTGTCAGGCATGTCTTAGAACTTCAAAACAAGACTGTACAACCAGTGCGTGTTGCCAGTGATGACCTATGGATCTGAGACATCTTTCTTTACTGCTGGCCGTATGAGGCAGCTCAAGGTCGCTCAGCAAGCTATGAATAGGGCTATGCTTGGAGTTTCACTGCGAGATGCACTTGGGAATGAGGATATCCGCAG